AACTACATTCTAACGAAAAATACAAAAATAATCAATTAACTTTAACAAAAGAAATTACCTTGAATAACCTCCTCATCACTAAGCACAAACTGTAAGGAGTCATGTGCATCAACAATTGTTCCATCTGATAGCATTCCTTTGCATTTTATAGTGACTATATCACCACTGACTGGTCTTGATTTATGACCAAGTCCTTTCTTTAAAACCTAATGATGAAATGAAATCCTATACTTGAACACTATTTTCTGTATTTCCATAAGATTTGGCAAACTCATTCGGCATGGTTGAAAAACAGACTTTGTCTTAACATCGAAATAAAAAAAACTTTTTATAAACTATTTTATAAACTATTTTATAACAAAATACTAGTTGTAGACACAAGAGTTGTTTATGTTGACATATAATTAATAATAATAAAAAATCTCAGCTATGTAAGAAAAATTTATGAAAATGTGAAAGTAATGACGTAATACCAAAAACTGCTGTTTAATACAACATGAATCAACACTAAACTCATCTGCTTGAATAACATAGGTTTAGTTATTACAATCCTGGGATCTAAGCATTTTTAATCACAAAATACCAAGATTATCCTAAATTATTCTGAGGATTATCTGTATGATTAAACAAAATAAAGTAAAAATATATATAAAAAGAACATTAAGTGAAAAAACATCTAGTAACAAATGTATTTTTATTTCAAAAAAAATTACAGAAAGTAATTGAATGTTTTCGGTTTTATGGTAAAAAGTTCTAAAAAAAATGTTAATTTTGAGAAAAAAAAATCCTGCAAATCTTTGCAAGATGTCATATCTGTTAGCATATACACAATTTAAAAGTGTCACATTATCTTTTTTAAAAAAGAGGTTATTAAGGTTTATAAGTATAATAAAATATTATTTTAACTTGTTGCGTTGCCCATGTCTTGGATTGTTAAATAATGCAGTTTATGTTTAAATAATGATAATTTTTTTTGTAATACCAATTAATTGTTATTATAAAAAGTTTTTAGGTATGGTAAAGAGGGTTAACATTGACACACCTTTAAAAAATAGTTTTTTTTAGCTGTGACAAACTAAATTTGGTATGCAATATTTCTGTTTTTACCAATGATATTGCTCCAATAAACTGATGAAGAATTTAATTAGTTATCTAATATTATTGATGGATAACTTTGTTGTTGGGGTTTAACTGTCAATGTTACCTCGAATGTTACTGGCCAATATAAGGTATAGTGGTGAGACATCTTTAGAAAATATATATATTTGCTTGTTGTGACAAAAATGTCAAATATTTTTATGTGCTTACCAATGATATTGCTGCTATAAACTGATCAAATAATTAAATAGTCATGTATTATTATTAGTTGATTTATTGATAGATAATTTATTGATAAATTGTAATTGATTTTGTTGTTAGCTTGCTAACTGTCAAATCTGACAAAATCTTGCAGTGTTGTAATTTTTTGCTAGATTTCTTTACAACAGACTTTTTGGTGTTTGTTTTTAAAACAACTAGATTATTTATTACATCTTCAGTTTCTAATGATTTGTTCTTTACCAGGATTATGCAACATTGTTAGGTGCTAATATTTAATGTCTTGATTGTTAGGTGATAATATTTAATATCTTGATTGTTATGTGCTAATATTTAATGTCTTGATTGTTAGGTACTAATATTTAATGTCTTGATTGTTAGGTGCCAATATTTAATGTCTTGATTGTTAGGTGATAATATTTAATGCCTTGATTGTTAGGTGCTAATATTTAATGTCTTGATGTCTTTTTTTTTTTTCCTTTAAAGATTAACTTTTCTAATTTACAAAATGTTTTGTTTGATTGCATTTCATGTAATTATAAATGATTTATTAGATATAAGCATTCCTCAAACTTTTGGTTGTGTCTTGGCCTATGGGGTGACTTGAGACTTTGTTTTTGCTAAACTTTTATAAGTGGGCTTCTGCAACACCTGCATAAAGGTCGAAACTCCGTTCAAGTCGAGAATAAAAAATAATTACAGTGCCCTCGTCTATTAAATGATGAAGTCATTTGGTAAAATTACTTGAAAGATGAAATGCTTTTAATCCTTGTATGAGCATCATTTGAGTTTGATTCAATAATAATTTTTATTATTTAGGCCCCTCGCCTAAAATATTTACTATTCATAGAGCCTCAACAAAATAGATATAATTTTAAATAAAAATTTTCTGTTTTGCTTTTGGTACTGAAGTTAATGCTATTAGAAATTTAAAATTTTTGTGTGTAAATAAATACATAAAACATAAATTTATGTATTTTAAAATGAACTATTATTTCATTTTTAATAAAATTTGCATTATTACATTATACTCTACCTGTATTTTTTACCAGATTCTTATTTATATTTTTCAGAGTTGTTAGTCCTTGGCCTTGGCCAAAAATTGAGGCATTGGCCTTGGTCTTGAAACTGTTGGCCTTGGTCTTTGCCTTGAAACTGTTGGCCTTGGCCTTGGTCTTTTCCTTTTAAAAAAAAACATATTTTCTCATTGTTTTTGTTGAATTCTGCGCATAACCTTGGTCTTTTTTTACAAAATGTGGTTTTATTGTTACAGCATTTGCTATATACAGTTTTGTTAATAATTGGCCTTAATGTAAGACAAAAATTGAAGCGTTTAGTCTTGAAAATGTTTGCGTAGACTTTAGCTTTGAAACTCTTAATCTTGAGTTTAAAACTCTTAATCTTGGCCTTGAAACTCTTAATCTTGACCTTAAACTCTTGGTCTAGAGTTTTAAGGTCCTGTTAACAAAATGAACAAAAAACTTTTAACCTGTTAACAAAATGAACAAAAAACTTTTAAAAAAAGAACTAATGGCCTTTATTATTTGCTACAGAAACTGGCATGCTTGTATGCTAACTTCTGTAGAAAATTTGAACATCTTTACAATAATAATATATAAATAACTGAATAACAGAATAACTGAGCAAAACCAGTTTGGAGAGATAATGAAGGTACTGTTATTAAAAAAGTTAAAATCACTTTTGTGTGTTGGATTGAAAGTTAAAAATATCCATTCTAAACAATGTTTTATTATATAATGTGTTTTTATATTAATACCAGATAAACTACTTTCAAACCTAGAACATTTTTTTTCCATATAAATATGCAACATTTTTAATTAACACAACAAAATTTGTGTAATACATATGCTCTTTATTTATGATAGATGTTCAGATTAAAATAAATCACATTAAAAAATTGCCTTATAAGTTAAACTTTGTGATCTCTGCTAAGTCTTTCAAGTACCATAGGCTTTAAAAAATAAAACATGTCAACAAGTTTTAGACTTATTTTTATCACCATACTCAAGGTTTGGGTAAAGATCTTTTTTTCCCGAAACTGCTAAAATTAGCCTTTTATTTATAAAATTTTATAAAATTAGCCCTCATTTATAAAATTTTATAAAATTAGCCCTCATATCTAATAAAATGATACCCAAAACAATATACCCAAATGTATACCCAAAAAAATATAAACCCAATTCACCACGAAATAGAAATGAGAAAACTAACAAACTTTTTTTCAAAATTTGTTTTCCAGTTTCTTTAGTATGAAATATTCAAACTGCAACAAAAGTTTTTAAATAAAATTAAATTCTTTATAATAAAAAAATAATTGAAATCTAAAATTAATAAAATTTGCATTTGAATATTTAAAAATACAAGTAGAAAGACTTTTTTATTCAGCTGATTTTAAAAATTGTCATATATAAAAAGTCATAAAAAATGTCAAAAATAAAAAAAGATTTATATATATAAATAAAAAATGTATGTATGTATGTATGTATGTATGTATGTATGTATGTATGTATGTATGTATGTATGTATGTATGTATGTATGTATGTATGTATGTATGTATGTATGTATGTATGTATGTATGTATGTATGTATCTATGTATCTATGTATCTATGTATGATAAAAAAATAACTTTTTGAAAAATTATGTCTGGCCCTGCATGTGGTGCATATAACAAGAAAATTTTACAATTGTTTTTATACATATTTTTGTTCAAAGCATGGAATATTCAGAAACAAATAAAAATTCCGAAAAAAAATAAAAAAAGCAAAAAAAATAAATTAACATAACCACAGTCTTTATTAAAGATCTGTTACTTCACTACTTGTTGTTTTATCATGTTATTACCATACAAATTATCATTCATACCAGGGGGTATTCATTCATACCAGGGGGTATTACAAATTTAACATGAACTAAATGCATTTAATTTGGCACAACCTATAAAGAAATCTTAGAGAAAAGAAATTTAAAAGAAAGTTAAAGTCTGTGTTTTATGTAACATTTATTTTTAATTAACATACTCACATTTATTATATCTAAATTTTAACAAAAAGAACTTAATCTGATAGCACTTATTTGATGCTCATAAAATATTTTGAAAATAAAAGTGTCAGGATTGTCTTTTGACAAGCAAAAACTATGTGCTTAGCGAAAAACGTTTTTTCGCTAAGCACATAGTTTAATTATTTATAGTTATGCAGTTTTTAAGTTTTACTTTGGAAGAGAAAAGATAAATTAAATAGTAATAACATTTAAATAAGACCTTTTTGGTTAACTGCGATGTTGAAGGTGCGTTTAATTAATTTATGTATTAGAAAATATCCTACTTGTTTGCTCATATATAACTTAACTTATAAAGAAAATCTTTTGTTTTTATCTACTACAATTTTTAATAATTTATAATTGTATATTACATACTAATAAATTCAAGTAAAAACATTTTTAATTGAAACCAGAAAGTTATAAACATCAAACAAGTTTTATATTTAAATTTAAACAAAAGTATCTATTATTACTACATAATTGTATATTATTTTAATTATATCAAGATAAAATCTGTAAATATTAAAGTAATAAATATGTAAAAAGAAAAGAAATTGAATATTCAAAAATAATAAAAACCTTTTTCTTTAGTAATCCATTACCCAAAATATCTAACCACTCAGTATCATCTTTTACTGTTGGTGAACTTGTTAACGATTTCTTTTGATCTACAGATGATAGATCTTTGTTTTCAGTAGTAAAATCTGAAGTTTCTTTTTTTTCATGAGCAACTGAAGGCAATTGAACTAAATCTTGCTCAACTAAAGGTAAATGTAATGGAACTATGTCTTCATTTTTAGCAGTGGGTAATTTTGAATAAGTTTTATCTTCTTTTTCAACCTCTGATGTATTTAATGACTCAATCATTTCTTTTTTAGGGTTACTTTCTGGTGTATTTAATGAATCACTTGTTTCTTTTTTAGGGTTATTTTCTCGTGCATTTAATGAATCACTTGTTTCTTTTTTAGGGTTATTTTCTTGTGCATTTAATGAATCACTTGTTTCTTTTTTAGGGTTATTGTCTGGTGTATTTATTGACTCACTTGTTTCTTTTTTATTTTCGGTGTTATGGTTAAGATCAGGATTAAATATTATATTTTGAGGTTGTTGTAATAAAATGTCTTTTTGAATTGAAGTAAAATTATCTGTTTCAGTTTTTAATTCTTTATTAAACAAACATTCTTCATTTTTGACTGTCTCTAGTTTTGGCACCTCTTTCAAAAACAAAATCTTTTCATTTATAACAGATTCTAGTTCATGTGTTTCATTCGAAAATAAATTCTCATTTATAACTGATTCAAGTTCAGGTGTTTCTTTTAAAAACAAATTGTCTTCAATTATAACAGATTCTAGTTCAGGTGTTTTTTTGGACACGACAATGTCTGACTGGTTTAAATGTTGATTATGATTTGAATGTTGATTTTCAGAGCTCTGAGATTCGATTTGAGAATGATTTTTGTGTAAACTGTTTTCAGATTTATCATCTTTCTGAGCTTGATCAAAAGTTTGTTTATTTAAAAGTTCACTGGTCACTGCAGCATTATTCAAAAGTTCACTGATCACTGCAGCATTATTTTCTTGACAAGGACTACTTTTAATGGTTTCCACAATTTCTTTTTCTTGAATATTATTATCTGATTTTTGGTTACAAGAATCATACTTTTCCTCGTCAAAGTTCAACGTTAGAACAGTTACATCTGGGAAGCCATTTTCTGTTATCTCAGACAAACTTTGTGCAATTTCTACAGGCAACTCATTAGCTCGCTTTCCTGAGTCTAATAAACTAGAAGGAACCTCAGCAGAATGTTCAACAGAAACATCAGGAAAACCATTTTCTGTTTTTTCCGACAAACTTTGTGCAACTTCTACAGGAAGTTCATTTACTCGTTTACCTGAATCTAATAAACAGGAAAGAACCTCAGCAGAATGTGCGATAGTAACATCAGGAAAGCCATTTTCTGTTCTTTCAGACAAACTTTGTGCAACTTCAACGGGAAGTTCATTTACTCGTTTACCAGAATCTAATAAACACGAAAGAACCTCAGCAGAATGTTCAATAGAAACATCAGGAAAACCATTTTCAGTAATTTCAGCAGAGTTTTGAGCATCTTCAACAGATACATCATTTATTCGTTTCCCAGGGGATTGAATATAACTTTTAACTGGAGTAACTAAAATAAAACAATTTTTTATGTAGCTTATCACTAAAAAATGAAAGGTTATTATTTATTATTTATTTCTTCTGAATTCAAAAATCTAAAAGTTAAAAAAAAAACATTCATCGTTAACTTTTACACTTAATAATTTCTCAGCCTTTTTTTTTCTCTCTTTTTTTTTTATTTATTTTTTTTATATTTTTTTGTGCTTTTGACAAAATCCAAAACTTAATTATATCTACAAAAGAAATATATATAATTTCTATATATACATATACAAATTTATATATATATATATATATATATATATATATATATATATATATATATATATATATATATATATATATATATATATATATATATATATATAGTATGTATATATATATATATATATATATATATATATATATATATATATATATATATATATATACATATATATATATATATATACATATACATATACATATATATATATATATATATATATATATATATATATATATATATATATATATATATATATATACTTTATTATTATTACTTCTCCACTGTCAATTATGTCCAGGAAAATTAAACTGGTCAAAGCGAGTTCAATGCCCATTACTAGTCTATATAAGATTGAAGGATTCTCAATCTAGGACTTGGTAAAACAGAGCAACTAGACTATGTAATGTTTGCAGAATTTCTAGCTATAAAAGCACGCATTGGAATTCTAGAAAACAAAGTCTTGACCTTGGATGCAGAAAACAAAACCTTACAAAAATCTCCCAGCGAACTAAAAAAACCTCAAACGGTATTATTATCATCACAGCAAATGTAATGAAAGAAAAAATGATCGGAATCTATTTCTAAATAAAGTGAGCAGAAACAAAGACAGCAAAAAGTATTAAGTCTTATAGTGTTGGGACTAAAGTTCTCAGACAAATATGATGAAAATAAAGAGATGGCTGAAAATTTCTTTAGAGCTTTTAGTATCGACACCTTAATTATCATGAGAGCCAAAGGTTTTAATCATAAAAAACCCAACACAAAACTCAGAAAGTCAAAGACTCTGAATCAAATGCCCTGGTCTTATCCAAAGCCAGGCATCACAGTCTCAACACACCTGAGTAAAAAGATGTGTTTGTTAGAGAAGACCAAATGAAGGTACAACAACACAAATTTAACAAACTGAATCGCAAAAAAAAAAAGAGCAAAATGATGAACTCGCAAAATTGAAGCCGCTTGACTTGCCATTTTTTTCCATCATCCATCAACGCCTTAACTGTGTTAAGTCAATTAATGCACAAGAGTCAGCTGCTCACCAAAGATCAGTCTTTGTCAACAGCAAGAATCTTGCAAATGCTATCGCTAATGCCTCAAAATCAAAAATCACAACAAATATTGTTGATGAAAGTTTACCCCCCACCCAAGCTAGAACAAACCCTAAATCAGCCTCAACAATCCCAATCGGTACAACCATCAAGCTTCAATGTTGAAAGAAAACGCTCAAATTGACCATCACCATCAATTAGACGTTTTACTGTCTCTCATCAGCCCGAATTATCAAAAACTTGTTCAATAAAGGTTTTCAGTAACATCAATTTTTGAGCAAATAATCCATGCTCATTAAATCAAAAGAAAATTGATTGAAAACCAGAATACAATCAACCACCAAGCATAACCGCCCACATTTTATTTTTCTTGCTGAGACGTGGTTTACTGAGGCTTCAGATACATTTAGTCAGCGCTTTGTGGGCAAGCGCTCAAGTATTTTCGCGCTTGCTCACATGCCCGAAAAAACTTTAGCAAGCACATAAAAAAGTGCTTGCCAAGAAAATAAAAGGATTTTTTTTTAATTACAACAAATTTTATCTAATATTTATTCAAAGCATTCTTTTTGCTACTTTTATTTTAATTTAAATAGCAGAAAAAAATGAATTTTTTAAATCGCCTAGGCAAATTTAAAAAAGACCATCCTGCCAGACGCTATTTCAGGGTATAACATTTTTTCAAAAAACAGGGCTGGAAAGATAGGAGATGGCGTAGTTATCTACATAAAAAAATATCTTAAATGTATGCTAACAAATATTGAACAAGTTAACAAAAATACCATTGAATAGCTGTGGATAAAGCTCAAGCTCGAATAAGGATGGCTCCTTTTAGGGTGTATCTACCGACCACCAAATAAAGATGAACTAGCACTCGTAGAAATTATCAAATCAATTCAGACTGCTACGGAGGTCCTTAAAACAATCGGTTGTGGTTCCTAATTACTTTATGGTGACTTTAACTTTAAGCACATTAGCTATAAAAGTATTAACGTTGGAGGAGGTGTTTCAAGAGCAGTCAACATACTGATCAACAGCTTACCTGTCATTCAGTTCAAGTCTTGTTTAGAGAAAAACCACCTTATGCAACTTGTCACTTTTGCAACCTTTCAAAATTCATGTGTTAAAGAAACAAAGACCATCTTGGACTTATCCATAACAAACGAGTCTGAAAGATTAACTTTCTTAACTCAAACTGAACCTTTGGGATTTAGCTCGGTGGGACAAGCTCACCTAACTATTGAAGGTTCAATTGCAACAGCAATAACAAAAAATAAAACACAAATAACTCCTCAATTAGTGTGGAGCAAGGCAAACTACACTTTTATCTCAAATTATATAAAAGGTAACGACTGGGAGACATTATTTAAAAAAATATCTGAGGCCGAAAAATACAAATTTTTAATTGACAAATATAATGAAGCTACTTCACTCTACATACCATGTATCATAAAACCATATCAACCAAATAAAAACTCATGGGTTACTAGTGAGGTCATGGAAGCTGTAAAAAAAAAAGTAAACTCTGGGGTAAATATGTATCAGCAGGACCAGGATCACACCAACTTATTATAGCAGAATATAACAAAGCAGCAAAAACCGTCACAAAAGTTGTGAAAAAAGCAAAACTTGACTACAAAGATGCATTCTTCGTTTACAAAGATGCAACTTCGTCTACAAAGATGCTTCTTCGTTTAAACATAACTCGAAAAGGACTAAATTTTTATGTCAAAAGCAAAGTCAAAGTACACATTAAAATCCATTTACTTGAAGACAGCAATGGTTCGGTGACTGATAACATATTTAACATTTGTATGACACTCAATGATTATTTTTATACTGTATTTTAAGTAGAGCTGCAAGGACCACTACCTAATTTTTTAAACCGATCTCCAGCCACTTGCGATAAAGGAGTTGATTTTATTACTTATGAAATATTCAAAAGCATATTGCTGAAATTCGATCCTTCAAAAGCAACAGGTCCTGATGATCCTAGAGTCTTAAAAAATTATGCAGAAGCTTTTTCTGTCCCTTTAACCATGTTATTTAAGTCTTCTATTTTAACATCCTTTATTCCAGATCAGTATAGAAAATCAGAAGTAACACCTATATTCAAAAAAGAAAGTCAAAGGCGAGCAACTACCGACCAGTTTTTCGAAACCTCGGTACCTTGTAAGGTGTTAGAAGATTTAATCCCAATTGTATTATGTAGCATTGTGTTAAAAACAAACTTATTACTCCAGCTCAGCATGACTCATCAAACACAGTGTCAAAATAGGTTTCATGACAAACCTATTAGAATCATAGGATATTGTTACAGATGCCATCAATCATGGTTTTACAGCACGCATAATTTATACAGACTTTTCAAAAGCGTTCAATAAGGTACCGCATGAAAGACTCTTATATAAACTGAAGGCTCATGGCATTCACGGTCAACTAAATAACTGGATAAAAAACCAGTTGATAACCAGTAACGAGAACCAGGCTTGTAGAGCCGAGCCAGAGCCATGGAACCGCTATTATTTAGTGGAGCCGGAGTTGGAGCCGCAAAAATCAAGCGGCTCTCGGCTCTCATGTTTTTTTTAAAGGAATAGAATTTATATTTTATATTTTTTTATTCTAGACCAACTTTATTCATTTATTGTTTAACATTGAATTTCTTTTTTTTTTTAAATACTTTTTCTAACAGTTACCGTCTAGCCAAAAGTAATAAAAATGATTATTTTAACGATTTTGTACTCAACAAAATACTATCCTTTAATAGTATTTCTTAATATGCTTTATAAAAAAAAAGTAAATTATATATGGAAACATTACAGCATTACAGTATTACATATATTGCTTTATATTATATTTTTATACTGATATTATGCTGTTAATGATCAAAGGTATTCATATCTTTAAAACTATATTAAAGCATGCAATCGTTAAACTTGAAACAATACATTTCGTTTTAAAACTTGTCACTAACACATTTTCAATGTCTTATTTTTGCGTAATTACTTTAAGTAATTATAGTATTAATTAAAAACATCAACAAACAAATCAAAATGGATCTATTAATTAAATTGTCATTGAAACAGTTAAAAAAAAAAGAATAAAAAGTCTGCACAAAAATCTACTAAATTCGCCTGCTTGGTTACTTTCAATCGCTAAAGCATCTGAATCTAGCAAAACTACTGTTTGTATGGTCATAAAACAATACATGAGCTCTCTATCTATCGAACGAGCATAAGGATCTGGAAGAAAGAGTAGCTTTAAGGATAAGAAAGCAGCAATTAGTATTCAACGATCATCAATCAAAATCCAGGCTTACCAAACAAAGAGCAAGCCAAAAGCTATAAAGTTTCAGACTTTTTAAAAGATTAAATTTTGGCAAGCAATATGCAACTGCGGTTTGAGATCTCGAGCTTTTGTCACATCGTCAACTTTAAACTCGGATGTTTACATCAAAGAATACTTGCAAGCAAGACTTTTGCAATATTATCAAAATCACGATCATCCCATTGAGAAATTTTGGAGAATTAGCAAAGGATATTTTGTAAGAGTGGCAAAACAATAAGTACAGCTAAAGATTTGATTAGAGAGTGAACAATAGCAGGGAACAATTTTCTAAAAGACACTGTGCAGAAGTTGATGTTGTCAATAATATGTTATTCGAAGTAATGAAAAATATTAAAATAAAAAGCACTTTTATAATCTTCAAGTGCCTTAGATTAAAATAAATATTGAAGTTTTTGCATTAGATGAACTATTTCTTGTGTTTTTTTTTTTGAAATTTTTATCGTTTTGAAATTAACAATAGCATGTTTTACCCAGTGGGCATGGGACATACAAAAGAGGTCGTTTAAACGTCTTATGAAAGTTTTGGATGCCATTCAAACGTTTTGGACGTCTTTGGGACATTCAAAAGACATCTTTTTTAGGTACGTGATCCTTGGGTAAAATTAGAATTAAAATTCGAACTAAAAACTCTATTTTATCCAAAACAATATATAAAAAAACTCTCTTTTTTTTATATATTGTTTTGGATAAAACAATATATAAAAAAAAGTGCTTGTTTACCCAAAACATTTTTCTTTTCAAATGTAATATCGGGTAGTAGAGTAGAGTAGTGATAGTAATGCAATAACCCTGTAATCATGAGAGTTAGTTAACAAAAAATTCATTGCAGTAGTTGGTATAGTTATGGGTTGGCAAATGTGATCATAAAATTTTCCAAAACTTGGGATTTTTGCTCATAAAGTTTGGGAGACGAGATGGGAGCCTAGGCATAAAAAAAACAGTTGGCTCCACAAGCCTGACGAGAATAGTGTCAAAATAGATAATAAAAAATCAATGTGTCAAAATTCGGAGAACAATTTGTCAAAATAGATAATACATTATCGCCATGTAGAAAAGTATATAGCGTAGTATCTCAGGGTTTGGTTTTAGGACCACTCCTTTTTGTGCTCTAAATTAATGATTTACCAGACTTTGAGTCATATAAAAAAGAGATGCAGACAACAGCAAGATCATAGATATTTTCAAGTCTGAAAAAGATACACTATGTTTTTAAAAAGATTTTGACACAGCTGTTAAATGGTCTAAAAAATAGCTTATGCCATTTAACATTGAAAAATGGAAAGTTATGAAAAAGGGCAAAAAAAAAAAAAAAATTAGCTATATCATATATATACAATAGAATCACATCATATATATCTAAAATCATATATATACAATAGAATCACAAAATGGTTGTCGCAAACAAACCACAACAAAAGAATACAATTTAGGGGTTATAATATCTAATAATTTTAAAGTGAAGTTACAAGCTGAACATGCAGCTGCAACTGGAAATAGAGTGCTATGGAAATTTAAAAAAAGATTCAAAAGTCATGGTTCAACTCTTTGGCGTTTCCTATATCCTACTTATATCCGACCATTATTAGAATTTGCCATCCCAGCATGGTCTCCTCATTTCATAGGAGATATAAATACAATCGATAAAATTCAACATTGAACCACAAAATGGATTGAGTCAATAAGTCACCTAAAATACTAGGAACATTTAACACAGCTTAATTTGACTACTCTTGAAAACCGCAGCACACATATGGATCTTATACAGCATTACAAAATAATTAATGGAATTGATTCAATCAATTTTGTGGTGCCAAAACCACACCAACGTATCAAAGATCTAAGTATAGTTTAAGAATAAGGAGAGCCATGCCTTTGAACTAGTTGGCAAAAAAAAATTTGAAACATTATGAAAGAAGTAATCTTTTCACTAATTGAGTAGTTAAAAACTTGAACTCCTTATTAACTACCACAGTAAACGCACCATCACTCAACTGTTTTAATTTGCGCTTTTCAATTTGGCTGGCGCAGCTATAATTGCAATTGTTGTCAGAAGAGAGGGGTCCTTGTCTGCCTCTCCATATTTTCATCTTCAATAATTAAAATATGCATTTTAGATAAATCCTTACCATGTTTTTAATATGTATGATTTCAATAAATTTGTAAATAATAATTATTGATGACTGAATAAATATACAAAACAATAGTTATAAATATTTCATTTTTTTTTTACCATTTTTTATCATTTAGCATGCAAATGAGAATATATTAACAATCATTTATAATTTTTCATATAAGCAATACTTGATATTTATCAAGTATTTAAATTATATTTATATAATTTAAATTTTAAATATTATTATATTATATTTAAAATATTTTATATTAAGCATATATCTCAAGTAGCTTATAATAAATTTTAAAAACAAACTTTTTCAGCACTAAATAAAACACATTCAAAAAATATATTTTTAAGGGTTAGGTTATTTTTTAACATGAAAATGGTCAAACTTATTAAACAAAAACAAAATTCTTATTGCTCATTGAAATAAGGAAATGAAAAAAATATATAATAAAGAAAAAATATATACTTGGATAGTTCATAACACAAGGTTGATTATTAGAAGAAACCTCTGTAACATAAGTGTGTTCATTAGGTGAATGTTCAATAACATCAGGATGTTCATTATTGAAACGGTATGTATCATCACATTCAATGGAATGATCCAAAAAACCAGAGTATCCATTACTTGCACTGTTTATAAAATCTGTACATCCATTATTTGATTGTCCTTTGTCAATAAATTCTTTATTTAAATGATTCAAAACATCAGTGTGTCCACTAATTTGATATTCTTTGAAAACAGTGTTTGGGTTACTTAAACAATTCAAACTATCAGCATCTTCATTACATGCAGTATCTTTAGTGTGTTCACTACCTGTACCATTTATAATTTGTTGCATATTACCAGAATTCACATTAGTATAATTAATTTCGATGTTTTCCATTATAAACTAAAAAATAATTTAATTATTTTTTATCAATGTTTTATTTTTAACAATAAAAATTACACGCATTAACTTTAATCCGTTTATTTTTTTCACTCAAAATTGACAAGTTTGTAAATCAATAGTAAAAAATAACGTCAAATCATTGTGCTATTCCAGAAAAATTAAAAGAATCTCAAAAAGATAAAAAACAATAAAAAATAAATAAACATAAGTTCTTAAGTTTTTGTTTTTTTTTTTTCATTTTTTTATTTACAACTTATAACAATATAATTTTACAAATATTAATAAATACAAAAATAAAAAATTTCATACATGTTTTACATAACATATCTCAAAATAATAAAACTAACCTATTCAAAAACACAATTCTTATTAAGTTGTAAGATAATACTTAATAAGAAACTTAATAAGAATTGTGTTTTTGAATTTGAAGTGCAAGACTAAAATTTAATAAGAAGTAAGGTTTCAATTTTTAGAGTAAACAATTAAATTAACTATTATTATAATATCTTTTACATTTCAATACTAAGTGGTAGATTCTAGATAACGGACATTCTGAATAAATTATACTAATAATTACTAACAATTTATTTATAAAAAAATTATAAAGGAAATACATTTTATATTTAGGTTATACTTTTCGAAAAGGAAAAAAAAAAGATTTAAATAATTTGATTTCGACTATTATCACGAAAGCGCATACTACTTGCTTTATTTTCTACAAGGGCTGATGGCACAATCACTTGACTTAATGAATCTTCGATGATTCCAGATGTTAAAGTTGAATCTTTCACATCATGGTGCTCACAATTTATAACCAGACTTCCAGGAACAGGAAATTTTTGATGAACTCTATACAATAGATTTAAACATACCATATAAGAATAAGTAGTAATAGAAACATCAAAAAAGCCAAAATTAAAAAAAAAAGAAAAAGAAAAACATGTAACGAAGGAGTTATAAACAAATTTAACATTAAAAAAAAAAATTCATCAACAATTCTTTAATTATTATTAATTCATCAACAATTCAATGTTCATATTTTATGCTTTACATAATTAAGTAACCATAAAGTATAAACCATAAAAAAAAAAAAAAATGCTAAAGATTTGATTTAAAAAAATATTTTTCTGTATAAAATTTAAATAACTTAATTTGATAATTCAATATTTATATAAATTTATAATTTAATACAAATAATTTTGTGTTAACTTTTAAAATATTAGACACTATAAAAAGTGACTTTCTTTGAATCTTTAGGAAAAAAAACAGCTTCAATTTAAAGGTTTTCAATTTAACTAAAAGGTATTCTTGTGAAATAATACTTTAGGTGTATGTGAAATGAATTTTATTGAAAACAAAATAAAAAAGCGTTGATAAAAAAAAAAAAAAAACAACAACATTTATACTTTATTTAAAAAAGTTCTGGAAAGGTCTTAACTAGTTAAGCAATTTAATATTTTGTTTTTAAATAATATTTTTATGTGAAATTTTTAAAATTTTCTATGAATTGTTTTTTAACTTTTTATTGAACCTGAAAATGTCTCTGCATAAAGGTTTACAAATTAATTTTCAAATTTAGTTAAATTAAAAAATGCAATTAAAAAATATGCTAAACTTTCTTTAAAAAGATTTTGTTTTATTTATTTCTCACCTAAGTATAAAACTTACATTAGCTTATTAAATCCTATTGAAATTATGATAAAACAGCTGTTAGAAAATGTGCATTTGACCCAAAGCAAAGCTAATTAAATAGTTTTACTCATGTTTTGTAAAAAATATTAGTTGTGCATTTGACCCTAAGCAACGCCAATTAAATAGTTTTACTAATGTTTTGTAAAAAATATTAGTTAGAATTTATATACTGAAATTTTTTTTTTTAAAATAGTTATTTTGTAACATGGTGTCCAACTGAATGTTTTCACGAACTTACCGAGATAAATATAGTTTGGAAAAAAAAAATTTAGTTTTTTTAAACAGCTTTTTATATAACCTCCCCCACCTCAATAGGCAGAGATATGGGCAATTTGATTTGCTGATTTTGAAAGAGAGGCTTTTGAGCACATGTTAAAATCAAAACAAATGTCAAAAAGCTTACTGAATATAAAAATGTGAAATTAAACAATTGCATAAAAAATCAAATAATAATAACAAAAAAAGTATGATTTTTCTATTAAAATTTTGTACAATATAATACTAATACTTTTGCAAAACTTCACAACTCAAAACATTAGTGATTCTCATAATATTATTTTGTAAAAAAAAGAATTCAAAAAATTAGTTTGTTTTTCTAATTAATTGTGAGATATAAAAAAAAGATAACTATTGTAACAAACTTAAAACCAAAAAAACTTGACTATGAAACTTGACTATGCTGTGATTCTCATACAATAGATTTTTATAACAGTTTTATAATTTACCTAGTAATATCAATCGAATAATAATAACTCTGTATGATTTTTTTCACGTTAGTCCTATCATTAAAAAATTATTATTTTTAAATCCCTAGTTTCTTTTCAGAACTTTACACTAATTACTTCCATATATAAATTATACACCTTACTAAAATATTTTAAGCTTAAAAATATTGCTTATTGGTTGCAAGCCCAGGTGATTTGCAACACACTCAAAATATTGCTTATTGGTTGCAAGGTGATTTGCAACACACTCAAAATATTGCTTATTGGTTGCCAGGTGATTTGCAACACACTCAAAATAAATTGTAAGCAAGAGCAGATTTGGATTTTTGGTATTTTAGTAATGAAAGATAAAAAAATATTTTAGCACAATATGCTGCAATAAATAGTCTATAACCTGATTTCCACAAGTGTGTGATATGGTAAATTGATAACCAATAGGAATAACTCTTAACTTATCACATTGGTTATGAAATTTTTGGTATAACCAATAAAATCAAGTGTGCTTTTTTTGAGTTTCTGTGAATACTTCTTGTATAAAATATAAAAATATTCGATACTCTTTGCTAGCTTCTAATATCAAAGCTTGTATGTAACTGTACAAAAGGACTGTTTAGTAGAAAAACAAATTTTCTTTTTACAAAAACTTAAATGTTTAACTCTTTATAATTAACAAATTGGTATAAAGATGCAGTAACTAGCTTAAAACAACCTCTGCTATGTTTAACTCTTTAGAATTAACACATAAATCAATTTATAAATAAGGTTCTTCACCAGTAGCCTGGTAAAACTGCATAAAATCCCTGTTTTTAAAGTACTTCACAAGTCTTTGACAACTGCATACAAACTGTATATAAACTTTGTATTTGAGTATGCTTCAAAATCAAGGACATTATATTTTACGAGAAACACATTTATAGATCTTTCCAAATCTACTTTAACACATACTTTTTTTTTCCATTTCTTTAAATTAACAACAGATAAAATCTCCATCACCAAGATAAACTTTATTGAAATTTTTACGAGTGAAAATTCTCTTGTACAAATAGATTTTGATACCTTATAAATACTCCGAAGAAAACTAAAATAAAATGAATTTTCTGTGTTGATAGTAATACAAGACTATTGATAAACTTAGTTTATCATTAATTACTTACATTACATTAAACTTATTTCAAAAGCTGCTTGCTTTGATTGTAATATACTTTTCAACAAAAGCGCACTTGCCTCTCTTTCAAAATCAGCGAATCAGATTGCTCATATTTATGCCTATTCTGAGCCTCTATAGGGTTTCAAATTATGCACCCTTAACCTCACCCTATTTATGAGACCTGGACTAAAATTCCCACCTCTCCTTTTATTTCCACCCCCATGTTCCCACCCCCATGTTCCCACCCCCATGTTGTATTGAGGACTTCAGAGTAATATATCAAAAAAGACCAGATAAGCAACACTAGCATGGGAGCAAGCGTAAATATCCTTGTTAAATGCCTTTCTGTGGTGCTCTATGATTTAAGGAGAAGCTTCATACCACCTTATACACCTAGTCCATCAAACCTTGGACCTCTCAATTATAAGTCAGCACTCCAGACACTGCGCCACGGCTGAATAATTTCAACTCAAAAAATAAGTAAAATACATACCGGAAAAGATGTAGTTATAAAATAGGTTGAAAATTCAGTAGGTTAAAAATTCAGTAGGTTAAAAATTCAGTAGGTTGAAAATGCAGTAGGCTTAAAATTTAGCAATTCATATTTTAATTAGTAGTAAGTATGAAAAACCAAGTTGTAGGTTAAAAATTAAATTGTCATATTCTATGAAATGATTTTAGAATTTAAAAATCAGGTCTAGTTATAGGCCACCAAAAAAATCACATTGCTGTGTTAAAACGAATTTACTGAGACAAAGGCAGAAAACAAGAATGTAGTTTTTTTTTGCTGTTTAAAGACAAAAAAATGTCATAAGTTAGAGAAGAACCCAGTTCTAAAAAAACTTGTTTTCTTCTATATGGATATAGGTTTAGTTGAGATATTAAAACTCTACTATCTGGAGCTTGTTTAACATTTAAAAAAAAAAATTATTCAAAAAAGGTATAAAAAAGTATTTAGCTAAATATATATAAAATAATGTACTAAACATAAATAAAAATTTTAGAATAAAAGACATATTTTTCAGAACATAGAAGGTTCTTGGAAGATCGGAAGAATGTTTATATAAAAAACTAGTTAGATAACAGGACACTGGTTAATGTGCATGTACAATTTTCTGTCTTGCAAAAGATAAGAAAAGCTACCGACATGAATTTCTCTGAATTTTTTGACGATATCAGTAACAAACCTTTGGATAGGAATAATAGATCTTTTTGATCAGATTGCTGTCAAATGATACATAAAGGCAGGGTGTGACAAATCTTTTTTTTTTTTTTAATAAACGTTGATGTTCGTTTCTTTATTTATTGACAAACGTCTAATTTAAGATATAAAGTATGTTAAATATTTAAGATTAAGTATGTTAAATATGCACCCACCCATTCCCCCCCTCCAACCCTCCACACACTTTTTTTTGGTTGTTTTTTTGTTTTTTATTTAAGAGAAATTCTAGATATACTTTTTTGGTAAATAGATGGTTTGCGCACATCCACTTCAAACCTGTGTCGTCGGCCAGAATAAGCCAGTTTTATTTTTAATTCTTTCAATTTTTTTTTTTAATTTAAATAATTTTTTTATTAAATTATAAGGGAGTTTTATTTTCAAATAACTTTTATTCTAGTTAATAAGATATATATTAATTAGATATATCAAAGATACTTATTGAATTTTATCAATTTTTTATTAATTTAAAACAATTTTTCACGCATTCGCAAAGTGTGCGCAAATTAATGATAACTAATATGCAATAACCTTTTGACTGCTAACTGTTATCTATTAATACAAAATAGTAAATTTTTCTCAATTTAGTTTGTTAAATTTTAAAAAAAAAGATATAAACTTTATGAAATTTAAATAAAAGAAAACTAAAAATAAAATAAAAGTTGTTTTGACATTTCTTTTTTAAAACATTTAAAAATAATAATATAATATTAAACATTTAATAAGTTATTAAATTTATAATTTAATAAGTTATCATTAAATACCTGATATGATATTATTATGTTTATAATGTTAAGTATTTAATAAAAAAATATCATTTTATTGGTGTTGTTAAATGCACAGTAAAAAATGAAAACCATAACAAACATAATAGTTCTATAAATTCTATTAAATTATATATATTTCTGCAAATATTTTTTCAAAACTTTTAAAATGGCAAATAAACATTACTTTAATTTAATGAAAATAAGAAAATTATAAAAAAGCACGCTTTTGAAAAAATAATGCTTTAGCACGGTTTCTTTTAATGTCATTGAAACTGCGCTTTAAATTTTTTCTATAATAAATAAAAAGCTATCAATCCCATGATTATTTGGAAAAAAAATTTAGTAATAAAAGATAATAAAACATTTTAGCACAATATGCTGCAATAAATAGTTTATAACCTGATGTCCACAAGTGTGTTTTGATATGGTAAATTGATTACCAATAGGAACTCCTAACTTATCACTTGAAGTTATGCGTTTGTTTTTAAAAAATTTAAGCGAACTCCAACGTTTGCTTAAGTAAGGAAACATGATGTTCATTTTTCTGTCTTTTTTTTTAACAAACATTTGCACGTTGCGGATTTGTTGCGCCCTGAAAGGTATCAGACATCCTTGCACAAAATTTACATAGGCTCATTTTTTCTCGAAATCCAAAACTTCCCAACAAGTTATGTCCTTAGAGTTCCAAAGAAGTTATGTCTTCAGTAGAACTGCTAGAATTGTTGCTAGAATTAATTTCTCAAAGTCTCTCTCTCTCTCTCTCTCTCTCTCTCTCTCTCTCTCTCTCTCTCTCTCTCTCTCTCTCTCTCTCTCTCTCTCTCTCTCTCTCTCTCTAGATAATAATAGTGACAAGTTGAAAAGTCTAACTTCCAATCAATTAGTTGGGTTTTAGGATATAGGAAAGAAGAAGAATATAGTTGAAATAATATTTACAGTAACTTTTTTTTGTTGGTAGATACATTAACTGATAAAAATAAATTGGGCAAAAGTATAGTAGGATAATATAAATGTTTCATAAATTGATTAATAGATTTGAATTGTATTTAAGGTTCTTGGTAATAAAACAAATTTCTTGTTTTATGATTCAACTAAAAACAAATATTCATTAAATTGTTTCATGTAAAATATTTATTTAAAAACTTATAGCATATAAAGCTAAAAGATTTCTACAAGATAGCAGAAAGTTATATTATCTTTCAACTTGGTATACAGTAGAGTTTCTCCAAGTTCCACAGGTAGGTTCTGTGTCTTTAATATCAAAAGAACTTTATTTTGTTTGGCAAAACAATATGAAATATTTTTAAATAAAATGAAATATCAAGTATTATCAAGAGCAAAACAAATTACATGGCATGATAAAGAAATATTTGTTAACTTTGATGCAGAATAACAAAACCTTTTTTTATTATTCAACCACTTGAGTTTGTTGTAGCAAACTAATCACCTCGTCACAAACAAGATTATTCCGATTTAGAAAAAGTATTGTGTTAGATTTCGATTTAGCAAGTACAGCCACTAAATTAATACCTTTAATCATTTATGCTTAGAAGATTTCTTATCTTTACTTTGTCTTTCTTTTTTTTTTACTTTTCGGATTTCTTATCTTTACTTTGAACCTTTACTTGTCAAAAAAAACAACGAGGTAGTATGTCACATAAAATAAAAGTTAATGATATATAAATTACCCAAAAGTTAAAATAAAGTTCCCTTGAAACAGTGCTTTCAAACTGAATTGCATTTGTGGTCATAGCTTTAAACATTAAACAAGAATTTTTAATCCACAATCATAGAGAAAATTATTTTCTTAATCAAGCTACAAATTATTTGAATGCACTATCAAAAATGTTGTCTAAGTTTGTTCAGTAAAAACAAGATTATTAGTAGTCAAATTTAATGAAAGTTATCATAGCTGCAACCACGCTTACAACAATACATAGCTGCAACCACGCTTACAACAATACATAGCTGCAACCACGCTTACAACAATACATAGCTGCAACCACGCTTACAACAATAAAGAAGTAATTTATCTAAAAATCTATAATTAATAATGCTTTTTAAATCAATAAATTTAAGAAAAACATTTTTTAAACTAGAGAAAATATATACCTGTCATACAGCTCATCAACCCCATTAGAATATTTTATATAATCTGCTTCTGTAAACTCCTAAATAAATATTGCATTTAATGTGTATAAAAAATATAACATGAATATAACAAATATAAAAATTTATTTATGTTATAATTAACAAAAAGTATAAAAAATAGTCAAATACTTTAGCACCATATCGTGCATGCTCATACAAATGTGTCACAAGCTCACACAACTCACTATAACCATCAAATGGTGAATAAGGAGGACCTTGCAATAACAAAAGTTGTTGCCGAACAGTTTGAAAAGGTTTGCGAGCAAGGCTAATATTAACTCGAGAAAGAAGTTCATCTAAATATAAAGAACAAAAAAATAATTAAAACTGAAAAACTTGACATTTGGCACTTCTAAATGAGTTATTCAAAAAACCTACAAACTGCACAATGTCTAAGGTGTTAAAAGCAACAGAAAAACTAGTAAGGCATGGAGGCCTAACAACTTTTTCTGTTGCTTTAAACATCAAAAGTATTTATTTTATTTACATTAAAAACATTACCTAAACAACTCATTAAATCAAAAGCTTTCCTTCGAAATTTGTAACTTCTATCATCTAAAAAAATGTAAAAATTTTTAATTTATTGCTTGAAATTCTAACTCTTTTGAGTAAATCTTAAAAAAATTTAAAAACTGAAAAAATTTTTGTTTTTTAAAATCTATAAATGCGTGTTTAGATAAGCATATGCTTACAAGATTAGCTTATCATTATAGCATACAGCTTTTTCATAAATACATCGTCAAAATGTTGTTGGTCAGATAAATGTTATGTTTTTATGTTTAAAGTTTTAAATAATGATACTTATCTAAAGCACATTTTTATCTTAAATTTGTGAAACATAAGTTAAAATTACATGTTAGAACTACTTAAGTTCTAGCACCTTTTCGTTGAGTTTTTATTGCTAACAAAATGAACACTTATGTCATTACGTATTTCTTATCTTTATAATATTTTTGTTTTAGAAAAACAAATCATTTGTAAATGCAATTATGAGGGGTCATTTATAAGGTACATCATCCTATATTTGTTATTTTTTAACCCCTTTCCTCCTGTCACAAACGATCACATATACCTAAACCCCCTCACCTTCCTAAACTGTGATAGCAGTTTTTACGTCAAAAATATTTCAAAAGATTTTAATGTAAATACTATGCAGCACTTTAAAAATTTAACGTAAAGAAAATAATAAACATAAACATAAGAAGTGTAAGTCCTAATCCAGACTCCTAATAATAGATACAAAAAACTTACGATAATAATCGCTTAGTAACCCATGTGATGTAACGTTAGTTAAATATTTAGTATAAAAAAAAAATAAGTATTTTAACAATAAACAAGTTTTACAAATAATTTAATTTCAGTGTAAATTATTTTTGGTGCATATTGGTTATTTTTTAAAACAATAGATAGATTTTTTATGTCCTTATAAAATCCTAGCCATGTGTTGTTGATTTTATATGTTCTATCAATCAAACAATTTATAAGACTAATTTTATAACAATAGGGAACAAAGCTGGAAAATTTTTGCAAAAGGCTCGTATATGTATTTTTGTAATGACAGCCCACATATATAAATATATATATATATATATATATATATATATATATATATATACATATATATATATATATATATATATATATATATATATATATATATATATATATATATATATATATATATATATATATATATATATATATATATATATATATATATATATATATATATATATATATATATATATATATATATATAGTATATATATATATATATATATATATATATATATATATATATATATATATATATATATATATATATATATATATATATATATATATATATATATATATATATATATATATATATATATATATATATATATTAGGGTGGGTCAAAAAAAAATTTTTTCTTATTACAGGGCTCTAAACATTGCGAATAGTTATTAATATTGATACTATCAAATATGAGAATGATTGTGATTGCAACTTTATTGGAAAAATTACCGGTACCCTAACATTTTGGAGAAAAAAAGTTTTTCAAAAGTAGGTCAACCTGGTACTCAAAAGAAGCAAAATTTTATAAAAAATTCGAAAATAATAATCGTTTTATAAAAATCATATTGCTGAAAAAAATTGTCATAAAAAAACATGTGAAAATGCACTTTTTTCACTTAGTTGAAAAACATAGTTATTATGCAATAAAATCTAAAGAAATTATTTTTGTAAAAAATTTCAAAAACAAATAAATTTATTTATTTATTTTTGAAATTTTTATAAAATTTTGCTTTATTTGAGTTACTACATCACATAATTTGGAAAAACTTTTTTTTTGAATAATAATAGGGTCTGCTAATTTTTGTAATTAAAGTTGCAGGTGGAAGGCATTGTTCAATCCATAAAAGTAAATACTTTTCTAAATTAGTACATAAAAAAAACAACTTTTTAGACCATAGCCAGGTTAGCAACTCTAAAAAAAAAAATTTTATGATCCACCCTAATATATATATATATATATGTGTATATAAATATATATATGTGTATATATATATATATATATATATATATATATATATATTATATATATATATATATATATATCCTTATATCGAAGTCAAAAGAGACTTTTAATGTAAAAAAAGTCTCTCTCGAGACTCTTTAACTTTGCTACCTCGACAATTAAGCTACATTTTATTGTTGTCCAAATGTTAAAGCAATTAAATTGATGCAAAAGTACATTAAATTTTATTGTTTTTTAAAAAAACCGCAATAAAAATGACTAGAAAGTTTTTTTTAATTAATGGTGTTTTTGTTGTTGTTTTATTAAAATATATTTTTAAAACATGCTACATCATTGTTGCTACATCGACTATCTTATAGCCTGACTGGCAACGAAGTGTTGCTACATCAACTATCTTATAGCCTGACTCGCAACGGAGTGTTACTACATCGACTATCTTATAGTCTGACTCGTAACGGAGTGTTGCTACATCGACTATCTTATAGCCTGACTCGCAACGGGGTACTGCTACATCAACTGACAAAGAGCCATATATAGTGAAAACTTAAATGACTAGATATACTAAATAACAAAAGTTATAACTTCATGCAAATAGTGATCATCAGATGTTATAACCATAAAAAAAAAAAAAAAAAAAAAAAATGCTATGGAGTATTCGCTTGACAACATTAATTTTTTTAATTAGATATTTATTCTCATGGCACCCCTTTGACGTATAAGTTGCAATATTTACTACCTGATTTGAATGGCCCCGCCTAGCCAAGAATATTCTTGATATTATTTTTGCATTTCCATACAAATTTTGAAATTTCAATTAAGTTGGCTTTACTTTCATACAGAAAAGGGTTAAGTTATTAGAGTAATGTTTTGTATTTGAGATCTTTTTTTTTTTATAATTTTGAATTTTTTTTTTTATAATTTTGAATTTTTTTTTTTTATAATTTTGAATTTTTGGAAAGAAATCTATTTTATCTTTAAATCCACAAAGATTATAGGTGTTATTATAAATTGGTGCAGCTCTATCAAAACCTTCTTTACTTGAAGATATATTACTGTTGCAGTTAGAGATCATTTTCTGCATCAATTAAATGATGTTTGGTGGATGATTGGAATTGATGATAATATAAAAAGATTATTACCTTTTTTCAAGCTTATAACATCTGATGATTACTATTGCATGAAAGTAAGCAATCTAGCAAGTGAAGTTCTTCTCTGTCTCACTTACGGTGTGTTTGCAGCCAAATGCATCAACAATGTGTTCAAAAATGATTTGAGGGAGATTCAGTAATAGTATTAACAGCCGTATGCTTGCACATTACCAGCATTCTAAAAATGCACCTGCTTTATTATTTATAAAAAAAAGTGTGACAGAGATGACGAAACAATAAATTAGCGTGGTTAGCGCCACACCAAATGGGGATACAGTATGTAAAAGCACTTGTAGTCAACTTGAAAACACTGGGTATTTGTTTCTTGATGGGTATGATTGAAATAGTTACTTTTGGTGGAGTATCAATTTGTGCAACATGTGATACTTATTTTATGGGAAAACAAAACATAATTATTTGGTCTTTTTTTTTTTTTTTTACAAAACGAGGAGGCTACTTAATAGTGGTTATAACCCTCTCTCAACTCTATAACTCTGAAACACGAACCTTGATGAACAAAGCTGCTGCGAGGAGAAACAAGTTGAGCGCAGTACTACCAGAGACGTGGTGGGGATCGAACTCCGAACCTCTCGCTTATGAAGCGAGTGTTTTACCACTACACCACTACCGCATAAGCCACTACCATATAATACCGTCTAAGAAACAATATCAACAATATGTTCAGAATTTCACAGCTTTATTTGAAAACACATTTTGAATTCGGTATAAACATTGTGGTTGTACCTAAAAGCTGGCCCTGCCAAACCCAGCCCAACCCAAAAAGCTAAAACCCAACCAGGATTAAAAAACAGTTTTTTTTAAATAAAAAAACAAATTATTATACCAAGTTCACAAGTTATAAAAATATTTATTGTTTGAAATTTTTACAAAAATAAATAAACAAGTTAAACACAAAATGGGATGTCACATTTTAGTTATAAACGTTATCACACACAGATTGTACAACTCAATCATCAATATATTGACAGCATAAGGCTACTGCTGCTGGATCTACAATGCTAATGTTCACATTGTTGCTAAGAGCCTCTGCAAATATTAGTGTAAAAACTCCACAACTATTTCCATCGAGTTTTTTAGATGCATTAAAAGAAATTTTGTTCCACTTTCCAAGTTTATTAGAACAGATAATAGTAATATCATATCTCACAAACATACCCACAAAATCCGGAGGATTAAATACGACATCGTGTAAATAAGTAACGCTGTCGTTGGATAATTTTCAACTTGTGGCTACTTGATGATAAAAATAGTACATAGGATTAATGTCAATAAATATTCAACAAAGTTGCTCCTCTCCTTTTCATGTGATGGACCAGTTAGTGATGTTCTTGGTCATATCATGCAAATGAAATCTCAACTGGACCAACATTGTTAATAGAAAACTTTAAAGCCATTTAGCAATGCTCCAGAATTAAACAGTTGTAAAGCACAATATAACCAATATGTAATTATTAAAGAAAAGCCTACAGCTTGAACATTTATTATTAAAAATGTGATGGCATGAATAATATACTTTCTTTTTTATTTTTTATTCTCTGAAGAAAAAATACTCTGTACATGTTTTTAATGCATGTACATGAAAAATTTTTGATTCTGTAAAGGAATGATGTACCTTCTTTTCAAAATTTTGTTAAAAGTTAATCACGCTTTTTGTTAAAGTTTAAAAAATTACATTTTCTCACCTTTTTCATTATTGATTGATGAATAAGATAAATCATATTGTCCTTGGTCACACAACAGTTTTGGTTCTAGTCTCATTTCAGCAATTTTATTAAAGTTATTTTCAATTTCTTTTCGCAATTCCTAAAAAAATCAAATATAATTTTACAGAAATGAAGCATACTAAAAATTTAAATTATAAAATAAATAAAAAACTGTTGTTGTTTACTCTACATTTTACTCGTAATCTTAATTTAAATCAAATGAAACTGATAAAAATAATTTTTATCTTTTATAATTATGTAATCAGGATATTTATTTCATGGAAACATAATTAGAAAAGTTACATTATAATTACATTAATCAGAAAAGTATTCAACTCTGAGAACAGTCAACTGCTTCAGAATGAAACTAACCAAGCTTGCAAATGGTCAGAGCAATTACAATTAAATAGTGAAAAATGTTTTATTATGCAATTTGGAAAAAATAACCTTATATTAATAATTTAGGCGACAAAGTATTACCAGTCTTTCTGATTCTGAAAAAGATCTTGGAATTACAATGTCATCAAATCTCAAGTGGAAAAGTCACATGACCAATTGTACATCAAAAGCTTATTCAATGCTTGGAATGTTGAAAAAAAAATTTCAATACATCAACAAAAGAATGTTTAGGATACTCTACGTAACATTTATAATACTCAGGGTTCGAATTAAACGTATCACGATTGCTTTTCACACTTTTGTGATTAGTAATTTTTTCGCGATTTTTTTTTTTTTTTTGGTTGTTTATTTATCTTTTTTTTTGGCAATTCTTTAAAGTAATGTTTTTGTCATAAATTACGTCATGCTTAATTTATCTTTTGAATAGATGATCATTTGCTCTTTCGCGCTGAGATTTTCATTCATTGTAAAACACTTTTGAATTTAAATTACTTTAAATTTCTGTGTGAAAGCCAATAATATTTTAAAAGGTCATTAAAGCAAAAAGTTGAAAAGGGGAAAACGTTAAAGAGAATTTCTACTTTATTCTTTTTATAACAAAACAGCCTAGTTTTTATCTTTGTTTTTTAAAGATTGCACCAAATTAACTTATTAATAATAATTTAAATTATTATTTTATCAACAATTTTATATTATTAATTTTACTACTTTAAGTATATTAAAACATATGTTAATTCATTTTTTTTTTTATTTTTTTTTTAATAGTTAATCAATGCTAATAGAAACCAGCATCTTTTTTGATTTTTTTGTTTTTTTGCTTTAACAACCTTGAACCTTTGATTTACTGAATGAATGAATGAATAAAGTACATCACAATAAATTTACTTATAAAGTAAATCAAAACAACCAGTTCAGTTACTACAGTAACTTACAGTTACTCAAATATTAACTTATCAATTATATTAAGTTACTTAATATCCTCCAAGACTTGCAAAAGTTAGTCATATAAATGTTTCTACTTATATCTTATATGTTGTTAACACATGCAGTAGTGGTGTAATGGTAGAGCGCTCACTTCATAAGCGAGAGGTTTCGAGTTCAATCCCCACCATGTCCCTGGTAAATAGAATATGAAAAACGTGACACCGTTTTTTTAAATTTATTTTATTTAGAGAGATATCAAGAACATTTATATAAATACACAAGTTGTTTTTAGAAATTTTATTTAAAAAGAAATCTATTTGAACAATAGAATTTTAGTCTTTAAATTCTCTTATTTAAAAAATTTGTGAATAAAATTTGAAATTGAAAACAAAATGGAAAATTTTAAAAGAATTTGAAGAAACAAGGGAGAATGAGAAAGAAAGTAATTTTTTGTAAATCATGAATTTCGTGAACGTTTTGAGTAGTTAATTCTATTTTGTTTCTTGAAAATAGTTTTAAAACTAGAAACATTCAATGGCAAAAATTAAACCAGTGATTGAAAAAGTTAAAATAAAACTTAAACTATAAAAAATTTAAGTTAAAATTAATAAATTATTTTACTTCTGTTAAAAAAAAATTTTTATAAAAAAATAATTTAAACACATTCTTTATATATAATATAATTCGATTTATTAAACCAAATTTTTTTTTCCACTTTTTATTGGAAAACAATATGAATAAAGAAATGAATAATAGCATAAATTTAAAAAACCATTTGAATGAAAAACATATATATATTTAAATTTTTAATAGTATGCTAGATCAAGAAACAATAAATTATAAAAAAATCTAACATTTTTTTGGTTTGATCTTACTTGTTTGGTCTATAGGTTATAGACGTTAATGGTCTATAGGCCTGTTTTTGCGCAAATATGAAGTTTTATGACGATAATGTTTTAATTTATTAATTAAAACAATTTTATTTATTTGCTTCATTTTATTTTATACGCGTTCTATGTTATAAAGGTTATAAACTGTAAAAAACAGCACAAAACAGCGTCACGAAATTGTTTTACATTAACACAAGCTCTTTATATTTTTAAAACAACTTTGCAGTTTGTTTTATTATTGTTTTATAGCTTTTTACAATAACAATTAAATACTTTTAAAAAATAACATGTGTTTTATTGTCAGCATGAACGCATTAAATATTTATCTATGACTAATTAAAGTGGTTTAAATATTGTAATGTTTCTTACTCTTACTTTCAATTTTTTAAGTTAAAACAATTACTAAAAGAAATATCTTAATAGTATTAAATAAATTACATGCTCATTACACTATAACTGCAACTTCAACTTTAAATTATAACTTAAGCTGTAAATTATAACAGTAACTTATGCTATTATAAACTCTGCCAAACGAGAAAATTATAAGATAATATTTAAATATGAGAGGTATTATATTAAAAAAATTACAATTATGTACAAAAGGTACAATTTTATACTAAAGCAAACCACCCCTCCTCCCACTATTGTAAAGCGGCTATAAGTATGAGAGGGGAGGGGGAAGGATTTCTTTGCGATTAGATTTTTTTGAGTCAAATCGAGCCCTGATACTCTATCTTGAATTTGTGGTGCAAGCATGGTGCCCATACCTTAAAAGTGATACTATTGCATATGAAAAACTCAATGCTATGCTACTAAATGGATACCTCAGATTCGAAAACAAAATTATGAAACAAGAATTAAAATACTTAGCTTAAGCACTCTGGAAAAAAGACCTAAAAGAGGAAACTTTATTCAAATGTACAAATTATTTAAAAAAACAAATATTGTAGAACTAGATTGTAATATTTTTGTCTCGTATCAGCCCAACACAAGGGACTATAATTTCAAAATCAGAAGTGAAACTGCTAAAAACTGTAGAGTCTCATTAATAATATATCAATTATAGAGTCTCATCGATGTGGAACAAACTACCATATTTTATCATCTAAAGTGAAAGCTTGAACTTATTCAAAAAGTTGATAAATATCTAGAGCTATATGATTTGTAATTTATAATTTGATTTATTTACCTAGAAAAACTGCACAATCCAATCAAAAACAATGTATATGCAATCAAAGTGAAATTACTTTTCTTTTCACTCACAGTTTACAGCTTGTAGTTTACAACAACTGCAGCCTTTTATTAAATTATTTTATTATATTATTATATTAAATAACACAAATAAGAAATTTTACTAATAGTATTACAATTATAAGTATGTTATAATTTTATAAGTAAAACTTAATTTTTTTTTAAATATACCTTTGGTGCACAATAACCAGCTCGATTGACAGGATCTTTATTGTTTATTAAGTAGAGTCGAAGAATGTGTCTTTTAGCCCATAACACAATAAAAACAATTGCCTATTAATACAATAAATTAATGAAAACAATTCCTTGTTAATACTATAAAATAATTGTTAATACTAAAAGACAATTCTCTATTTAAAAAAATGCAACAAACAAATTATTGAACATAAAAATTACTTTAATAAACAAAACTAAAACAAACTTAAAAGAACATACAAAGCCCAGAAAGATGACTGAAATCAACAATTTGCCACCACCTAACATATTATACAACTTTTCATCAGGTTTGCTTACGGCTGAAAGCGCCATTGCTATAATTGTCATTTCAATTGATGCAAAACGTTTTAAATACCTTCAACATATTTAATGACTAATTTATTTATAACTTTTTTATACTTTACATCTGTAAATTTTTTTTAATCTACAACATCAACAAAATATTTCCAAAACACACACTGCATTTGTAAAAAATTAAGATATTCATAACAAAAATTAGATTAAGAATAAATGATGACCTGCTTAACACTTTGTTCCTTCTGGAAGCCCTTTTTTTGTTAAAAAATAAATCAAAACTGTTGCTTTTTAGTCTTAAATTTATTACAATGCAAGGTAATCAAAATATATAACCATTTAAAAAGAATTAAAAAATTTTTAAATTTACTATTGTATCAATTTACAAATGAAAAGATTGCAAAAGTTAAACCCTAGTGTGTACACGTATGTCTCTATATGTATATGGTAGCTGGTTTTAGACTACAGAAAAAACTACTAAACCTACGCTATATTAGGAAAAAATCATTTTTTAGCTAAATGTTTTTCCTAATATTGAAAGTCTTAAATCTTCTCTAACTATAGTGCATGTATGTATGTGTATATATATATATATATATATATATATATATATATATATATATATATATATATATATATATATATATATATATATATATATATATATATATATATGTATGTATATATATATATATATATATATATATATATATAAATATATATATATACATATATATATATATATATATATATATATATATATATATATATATATATATATATATATATATATATATATATATATATATATATATATATATATATATATATATATATATATATATATATATATATATATATATACAGTAGCGTGCAAAGGTTTAGAAACACTTATTTTTTTTCAGTTTTTAACGCATAACTTTTCACAAACTTTCTCAAATAACCTGAAATTCTTACCTAATATGCTCTACATTATTTTAATTCAAAATCCATTTCACAAAATTTTTAAAACTCACCGGTCAATTAATTTTTGTTTTTTTAAAAATGCTTCCATGCAAATGTTTAGAAACAGCTGAATTTGGATTATTATTTATTTCAATAAAGCTGAAATATTTACTAAAACTTTCAAAATTTACAATTTTTTAATAAAATAGTTTCAATAAAAAATTGGTATTTGGTGGCATATCCATTTGCCTTTAAAACAGCATCACAGCGAAGCGG